TATCATCACCGAAGTTGGGTTGTTGGGAGCTAAACCCGTTGGTTTTCCCTTAGATCAGAATCATCATCTTCCCTTGGCCACTGGAACTCCTCTTTCTAATCCGGATCGGTCGAAGACTAGTAGGTCGTTTGGTCTACTTAACTATCACTAGACCAGAACTTTCTTAGTCTGTTCATATGTTGGCTCAATTTATGCAAAAACCTTTAGAAGAGCACTGGAACGCAGCTTTTCGTGTCGTCCGTTATCTCAAGGGAAATCCTGGCCAAGGTATTCTTCTCCAAGCTGATTATGATCTTCAAATTTATGCCTGGTGTGACTCGGATTGGGCAGGATGTCCTTTTACTAGGCGCTCTCTCACTGGATGGATTGTTTTCCTTGGGAATTCTCCTATCTCTTGGAAAACCAAGAAACAACACGTTGTCTCACGTTCCTCGGATAAGGCGGAATATCGTTCAATGGCTACTACTACATGTGAGCTCAAATGGTTTAAAGCACTTTTGCTCTCTCTCGGTGTCCCCCAATCTCGCCCCATGAAGATATATTGTGGCAGTCAATCAGCATTACATATAGCTGCCAATCCAGTCTTCCATGAGCGCACAAAACACACCGAAGATTGTCACTTCTTATGTGATGAGCTTCTCAAAGGCAACATTTCAAATCACCATGTGTCCACTGTCACACCCTCATTTTCACCTTTAGCCTTTATACCCTACATTCACCATATCATACATCGTTCTATTGCATATCGAGCATGTGAGTTCATAAGGTACGGATTGGATCGGTTTTTTATTTTCCATTTTTAAATGAGATAAATTTCCTATCATGGAATACATGGAAGAAAAGGTTCATCACCTAAGGTTTGATCTAAGTTAGAAAGTCTACTCATATAGATTACTTCAATAAGAATTTACTTGGAAAATATTGGGATATTCAAGATATATTCCTAATGAACATGGAATTCAAGGCCTATATTCAAGATTGCTTCATCCAATTTTGTTTCAAATTCTTGATCAAGTGGAGTCCAAATTTGCAAAGCATGAGTCAAGATCACAAGTCCATAATTCAAGACTTCATCCATTTCAAGTTTAATGGTTCTAGGGAAATCCATCATGAGTTCATGAATTAGAGGCAAGAATATTACAAAGAGAAATTTTATGACATTACAAGAATGTCATTTGTTGCAAGATTTCCAACTCTAAGTAATGTTTAGAAATTAATTTATTTCTAATCTTCATTCAAGTCTCTAATCAAATTCATGTTATGGTAATGCCACACCAAATCCACATTGTGTTTACAAACATCCAAGAAATATGCAAGAATTAAATCAACATTGGAATGTTTTAAGACCAAGAATATGTTTAATCATGGGCAAAACAACCCCATACAAGAGGTGGAAAATTACCTCATGTCACAAAATCTACATGTCACAAAATCAAGAGAATAGCATATGATAATACATCTAAATATCAGATTTTGAAAATGTTGTCAAGAAGTAGTAGCATTGACCAAGAGGAGTTGTCCAAGCACAAGCCAACAAAATGGATGCAAGGCACAAAGTGCTGCAGAAAAAACAGCATAGGCAAAGTGCAACAGCAAAAATGCAGCATAACATGTTGCATGGAAATGGAAAGAAAGAGAGTGACATGAGGAAAGGTGGTAAGAGACATTACCCCATGAAAAAAATCTGATATGTGGGGAGAAGAGAAAACCCTATAATGGAGAGATAAGAAGGAGGGGGTTGTAAACAAATTCATTCATTCATTACACATTCTACACATTGCAAAAAACCAAAAAATAGAGAGAGCAAGAGAAACCTGAAAAACCAGAAAAATAGAAAGGAAGAAAGACCAGAAAAAAGAGAGTGACATAGAAGCACAAGAAGACCATTGAGAAGCGGGAACCTTCACAACATAGAGTGAAGAGTGAAGAACACCTCCAACAAAAATCAGTGGAGGACTTGCAAGAAAAATAGAAAGCTCTTGGGTATCCATTTCAAACCTTTCTCTCTTTACTTTTTGCTTTTATATTCATTTTACTTCCTCTTTTATGTGTTGTTGTACTGAGTATATCATGTAAGGTTGTAAGGGGACCAAGAAACCATTTTTAAAAACCGATAGAAAGGAAAGAAAACCACAAAAGACAGCAAAAAACAGCAAAATATTGCATTTTTCGCTTCAGGTCGCGGCGCGAACATGCAAAAATCAGAATGAAAACTTTCCCAGTTCGCGGCGCGAACATGCAAAAAACAGATTGTTCACTTTTCTCAGTTCGCGGCGCGAACTGATCAGTTTGTTTATGTTTTTTTGTTGTTTTTACCTTAAAAAAAATTCGTTTTTTTTGCATGTCTCGATTTTTTTAGCCGACTAACCCCATATGTTTATATGATTTTAGTATGTGAATATTGCTATTGTCCTTGTTGACTTTTGGATTCCAAAAACCATTTTCAAAAACAAACTCTCGATTTATCGAGCCATTTTTAACCTTGTAAGTCGATTGCCTTGCGCATCGCCATCGACCTTGTCTGTATCGCTTCAAATATATCTTTACAAACAATAAACCTTGATCCAACGTCAAGTGGTTCTCTTTTCTCATAAAAATCCCAAAACACAATAAAATATACGATTAGAATTATACACCATGAACTTTAAAGTGGTGGAGAAGGAATGAGAATGGAATCCTCCTACACTCGTTTCGAATGTTTCGAATACAAGGCGTTCGACTTGGTTATTCGAGACATTCATCTCTATCTAAAGTCTTTTGTATAATCCTAGTCAAGAATAAACTCTTCCCTAAGAAAAAACCTAAAAACAATATCAACTCATCAAATTTCTTTTGCCTTAGGGCGTCAATCCGAAAACCCTTTTTCGAGGTATAAAATCAACCAATACACATATTTCTTAAGTGGCCGAACTACGGCTGCTCTGATTTCTCACACATGTTGAGAATACGTAGGCATAGGATTGCGATGATCCTAGCGAGCACAATTTTCTTTCTTTCCCATCTTTAATCATCCATACCCTTTATCTAAGGACATGTTACGTATGTTCTACCGCAAACAGGTAACGCATAAGACTCCAAGAGCGAGCCGCAATACACCTAACTGCTAGAATGCGCACGATATCATCGTCCACCCAACATCTCGTTTTCCACCGTAGTCCCATGAACTACGAATGCTCTGATTCTTCACTTCATACAAGTGAATATACGTAGGCACAAGGGTCCCAATCCTTGGCGAGCACTCTAATAAACACCAACCCCCTCTTTCTTTAAAACAACAAACTTTTAAAATAAAACACCCATTCACGCCAAACAACCTAGGAGGTTCCCATCGAGTACGATGGATGCGGGGGGTGCTAATACCTTCCCCTTGCATAACCGACTCCCGAACCCTAAGACTTGGTTGCGATGACCATGTTTTTTTCCCAAAGGTTTTATCGCTATTTCCCTTTCCCTCTGTGGGATGAATAAAATCTGGTGGCGACTCTGTGTCATTTTTCGCATAGCGACATCCACTAATATTCAACTAGCTGATATATTTATTAAAGCATTGGAAAAACAGCAGTTTGATGATTTTCTAAACAAGTTGGGCATCCACAATCTGCATGCTCCAACTTGAGAGGGGGTTTTAGACAATTGATATCTTGTTGTTAATTGTCAATAACATCATGAAGATATTCAGTTATGTATTTGTACATATATTCAATTTAGTATCTATAGCATCAATGTCCTTTAATATTAGGAAACTATTTTTGAAATGATTAGCTATTTCCATTCAAACTTGTAATACAGCATATCAAGATTCAATGAAATACATGACATTTTTCCATCTCAGAACAATTTTGTTATTAACGTATTTAAATGTTAATTTGTATTATTTTTTCAACATTCTACGATTGTTTCTAGTTTGACCGAACAAAGCATATTTCAAAGATTCATCTTTGTAACATTCGTTGAGTTTTAAATTATATATTTTTTTTACAGAGATACATCTCCAAATTCACCCTAATTTTTATACGAAGATGTATCTTCAAACTAAATTTTAAAAAAATAAGACTGATAAAAAAAAAATATATGTTCGAATATTCATCTCTAAATTCTAAGAGCATACGTGACTTTTCACAATTATGAAGGAGCGTCACACAAGGTTTAAAGAGCAATTAAAAAAAAAACTTAACCCCATTTTAATGGATCCAACAAACATACAAGATATATGGTGTCGGGGTCTACAGCAAACATATTTGAAGTCATTGATTCTAGAAGTGTGAAATCAATTTTGACATGTTTAATTGCACGCTGATAAAATCAACTTTGTCTCCATAATTATCTTGAAGTTATGGTTTGTAACTTTTAAATTAACACGAAATTTTTAAAATAAGTTTATTGTTCATCTCACTTTATTTAAATGTAATTCAAAAATAAAACCCTTTACATTCTATTCACTTCACTTTTAGTGAAAATCAATTTTACAAAATGGATTAGCTCGAAATAAATTTTTTCCCACGACATAATCAATTACACTACATGGACGGAAAAGAACAACAAACTTAGAATAACGAAACTCAACTTAGGTCCTCATGTGAGTGGGTAGGTTTATAGCTTTGCTCACATGTTGAAAAAAATGCTCAAACTATCATAAATGTGAACAGAGAAAAGCAACTCAAGCAGTTAGTCTTAGTCTCTGCTTGGATAAAGTTTCAATTAAGCATACTCTAAAAATCTCAACAAAATGAAAATTGGTGTTTGTATTTGAGATAATGAGGGGAAACCAAAGAATTAATTGCCAATTAAAAACAATGAAGGATAAGGTAAAATGTGTTAATGTTAAACCTCAGTTTTCCTTTTGATCATCTTCCATCTTAAGGAAGTACAATCTTATCAACTACCACTAATCAAAAAAATATTTAGCATATTCCTCCATCCTTTCTTCCTACCCTATGAAACAATCAATTTCTATTTTGAAAAAGAATATATAAAAAAAATCATCAAAATGATGGGGAAAATCAAGTCAAGGACTCTAGCCAATCTGATACCAACTCATATGCAACAAATGTCACAGCACCAGCAGGTGCAGCTTTAATAGTTGATGGAATTATCCCCTTGTATAGTCCAGCCCAACCCTCTGACCGAAATATCCTATGCACGGCATCATACATATTACTGTATGCTCGATGCTCTACTCGAGCTCCGTATCTTGGATGTCTTTGAAGCCCTTCGATCTATATAGTAAACAAAACATGAAGATCCCTTGTTTTAGACTACATAAGAGACACTGTAAATTCAAGTTTAACATTGCCATTGTTTTACCTGAAATCTTTTCTTGACCACGTCAAGAGGATGACAGACAAGTTTCGCACATGTTCCAGCAGCCAACCCACAGAGGAAAAGCTGAAGGCTAGAAACACTATCATCTCCTGTGGTGTGGGAATATCTATTATGGTTCCAAACCTACAAGTTCATAGGTTGCCGATCAGATAAACAAGTTTCAGAATTGTATGGCGCAAAGTCAAAATGAAACAACATTCATCTTTGTATGTGCAATTCAATCAAATTCTTCTAGCTTATGCTATGATTTAAAATGACACATACAAAATCTTAAGACAATCTACAATAACAACTCACCAACATATGTTGCATACAGGACATAATTGAGTCAACTAATAAAATGAGATATTAAATAGAAAGGCTGGAATTTTACCGCGGCCCAACGCTTAAAAGTATCATATGTTCCAAATTGTAGGCCTGCATAAGGTACAATCTCAACTAAAGTTGGAGACAACCCAGCATACATGCCTTGAAATCCACGAGTCTTGATGATGTCCATAAATGCTGACCTCATGTTTGGATACACCTAAATAAATTATGGAAGAAATTAGTTTGGAAAAGACTAAAACAACACCAGAGATCAGTATTTCCACAAAACACAACTGAAGAATTTACACATTAACTAGGAGGACAATCAAATATATATTTTATTGTTTTGTAGTTCAATGCCTCGAGTAATATCATATTTAACTTCTTTAAGGTGTATGGTGCATTTCAAAAGTATGTGCCTCTCTAGGAAACACAACTCACATGGTATAATCGGATCTGAAAAACTGCGTTGGCTATACCAGTAATAGCCAAGGAGTCAAAGAGGGGCGACAAAGATTGAGATGTAGGTGGTTATAATAATGGCGAGAAAAAACCAAAAGCTGATTGAATGAACTGAAGGGTCTAGGAAAACCAGACCATTAATTTGTTTCACTGGCCTTCAGAACACTAATAAACATGACACAAACTTACTTTGAAACTATAACAGACTTAAATTTATTAATGCGTATACCTTTGGCTCGCCTTGAGAAGCTAATATGGTTCGGAGAAGATCAAAAGGATATGAACCAACAGTAGCTGCACACCCAGCTAGGGCACCACTGACATAGGATAGATAAGGGCTCAAATTAGTGTGGTTCTCTGCAGAAACAAAAAAGCAACCCAAGAATCAACATAACTCCAAAATAGTAGAAGATATAGTTCATTTCCTGTTTCGTAGTTATATTTCTAGGGCAAGCTGTGTGCATGTGCATAGATTTTGAATTGCAACCTAAGTGTATATTAATCAATCTTAACTTCAGACAACACTCTCATTCCGATCACAAAACACCTTATGCCAACTAAATTGGTATTAGACCATGTTTGGATAAACAACTTAACTAAGCGCTTATCATATAAGTGTTTGTGTATAACTTATACGCATAATAAAAGATAAAATAAAATCAAACAATTTTAATGTATAGGCTCTCTTCATAAGCTATCCTAAAGATTTTATGGAAATAAGCTGAAAGCCTATTACGGATGTATCAGAAGCAATTTCCATAAGCTCTTCCAAACAGTCCTACGAGAAATAAACCAGTCTAAACAGGCCTAGAATGAATTTGACAAGCTTATAGTTATGGAACTAACTTCTATGACTTAAAATTAGTACCTAGCTAATGAAGACAAAAATACCTGTCTTGGAAGAACCAGATGCAAGAGTCTTTAACTTGTGTAAAACTGTAAATTGAATTGCTGTATACGGCATAACCATGAGCAAAGCCGGTACATTCCCTCGCCAAAAACCCTGTAAATATCACCAAAGAAAAATCACTCTTTTCTCAACAACAAAAAACAAGATAACTAAGCTTGAAGATTAGAAAAACAAAGGGTTGCTTTATTTGTACTACCTTAAAGCCTTCTTCTCTAAGAATATCTTTACTAGCTTGAAGCATACCAGTATACTTCGACGGTGCGGTAATAACCAAATCTTTGCGCAGTAAAGCCCATGAAGATGTCGGTTCAAGTTGAACCTATAGTTATGAATTTCATTAACAACAACAACAATAATAATGAAACAGTGACAATTGATGATATACTAAAATTAAATGAAACAAAACAACATTAAAAAAACCTGAAATCTAATCTTAATAACATCAAGAGGTGATGTTACAGTACGAGAAATTCCCCCAGAAATTGCTCCAGCAGATGAATCAATGATAGCACGTTTCAGTTGGCTAGGTTCATCCATTGCCGCCAAAAAAAAAATCTTCCCTTCTCAGATTACACTTTTTGTACTTATTATAATTACAATAACCTGTAACATGAAATCGATATTGTTGTTAGGGTTTCGCTTTAATTGGAAATTGAATGAAAAGGGTAAAAAAACAAAACGTACCTGTAAGGGAAGAAGAAGAAGCAGAAGAAGGCAATGGAGAAAAGAATAGAAGAAAAGAAACGCTAGTGTTATTATTTGATTCAGATTTGCTACGTTTTTTTTACCTTTTTCGTCAAATTTCTTCTTTTTGACGGAAAATTTACTACTAGTATGAATTTCGATATCGCTTGATTTAGGGTTTTTCTTTTACTCAGAAGATATTTTATTTGAATTGTAAAAAGATTTTGTTTTATATAGATAATTTAGGAACTTTTGTATTTTGTGAGAGAGAGAGAGAGAGATTCTAGGCGACAATATTTGCTTTTCTTTTGTAACTCTATGTGGTGTTAGTTAGTATAAACAATCAATCAATTTTCATTAATTGATTGTCTGAAGTAATTCAATTTTAATTTTAAAATAATTAATATAAAAATATGTGTCATGTACATAATAAAATGATATTTCTAAAACTTTCATTAAAAATTATTTTAACTTTTTAAGGAAAATATTGATGTAAAATTTGCGTGAAAAAAATTAATGATTATTTAAAATATACCATTGTAAATTTGTTTATTAAAATAAATTATGCTACAATGGATAAGATTTGGATTATATATCATCACTTTCTGAATACATTGTTTTATATTAAAGGAAAAGAAAAAGAAATTGTTTTATGTTAAAATGTTTAATATTTTTATATATTTATAGTAATAAAACAAAAATAGTTTTTTATAAATAAATATGGAAATTAAAATAAAAATGGAAAAAAAAAGTTAAATAATTATAGTAACTACCAGAGAAAATTTAAGGATAAAATTGAAACGAGAATAAGCTAGACTAAAATATATTTTTCCTTTATATATAAATATAGATTTCAAAATATTTGATTATAAAAATTAAAAAAAAATCTAAAACATGTATATGTCGGTAAGAGTGATAAAACGGATCGTTCGTCCTGTCCTGTTTTGACCCGTTTTAAATCCGTCAAAAAAAAGTAGAGTAGATAAACCCATCAAATAAAATTAGATCTAAAAATGAAGTCTGTTCCGTCACTTCCGTCCAAGTGACGGGTAAGTGGCCGGCGAGCTTGTCCGCCTATATATATTAATAAGTTTTTTTTAGATTTAAATTAGATTTTTTTCCTTAATTTTTTAGAACAATTTTTTATAATTAGGAAAACTATTGAATTAGACTTGAATATGGATTGTTTTATGAAATTGTTGATTAAGGAAAACTCTTAAATTAGATTTGGATATGATTTATTTATGATTTTTTTTTAATAGGTGATTACATGTTATCGCTATATAAACTATAGTTATAATATGTGTTGATTTATAGTAACCAATTAGTTGGATTTATTATTGTCAAGTAGTTCTCGAGTAAAATGCTTGTTGATTGTTAATTTCTACATAAGCATGAACAAAGTTGCAACACACAAAACTATATCTACAATATTGAGTCATCGCATTATTACTATAACACATCATTCAATAAGATTTTTATTTTTTATTTTGTCTCTACTGGTTTCATTATTAAATATTTAAAATGCGTCATCAAATATCTTATACTATATGGATATCATAAATAGTGATTTCTTTTGACGTGACAAACTTAATTTATCAACCTAAAGATATCATTGCATTGATGCTATAAGATTTTTAGGTGAGTGACATGTTGAAACTAGGGGTGGTAAAATAGATTGTGGCCCGCGGGCCGGCCAAATGGGTGCGCGGGGCGGGCTGCGGCGAGTGTGCGTGTTCGTGGGGTGGGTGGGCGGGTCCAAAATTCCAACCCAATCAGCCGTTTTTTTGCAAGTGCGCGGACCGGTCTGACGGACCACTGCTCGTTTTGCCACCTCTCATGTGGTCAATTCTCATAATAGTCTTTAATTTGGTTTTATTTCTCTTATTTTTGTTATTTTTTGGGTTATGTTTTTGTTCTCGTGTGCTTATTTATCACCTTTGTAGTAAAATATTGATTTTGTGATGGATAGTTCAATCAAATCTAACATCTGGCTAATATAAAATGGTAATTAGTTAGGTGTATAAATATTTTAAAATATGGACAATGTAAATGGAAAAAATTGCGAGTGGGCCTTTTTTAAAAATAAAAATAAAAAAGGTTGCAATGGTTATTAAAAGAAAATGGTTTGAAATGGGTTTAACTATAGGGATATGGTTTGGAAAGGCATTATTATGAGAACTTGAATGAACACTTCCAACCCAATCACACATCGCTCCTTAAATTGATACCAACCTGCACTTTTCCACAAGCCTCTGCTTAAAATGATTGAAACCACTGAATAACTCTCAACTGATGTGACAACCATTTGAATTCACCAAATACCCTTAGGGTTTTCCTGAATCAATCCTCGGAAAAATGTATCCATAGATGGACTCCAATTGGAATGATAGGCACTTGAACATGAAAACCTTTCAGGTACCAATTTTTGGTAACCTGATAAACTTCATACATGACAATTTGAATTTGAGTACACTACTAAATTGAACTGCGCCATTGTCCCTAATAAACCTGATCTCTTATCCATGATGAAAGGCATACCCTAACCTTGAGCCAATTGAATATAAGCTTGCCAACAACTTCGAGCCAAGGAAATGATGAAACCCTAGGCCTTCGATGTTTGGTAATTCTTGAAGAATGTAAGCCAAATACTTGATGACCTGATTCAGAGAAATTCTCGATCCCACGTCTTAGAAAACCAATGCAAAGTATGAATATGAATTATGATCTAATGAAGATGCAGATGAATGCGAAACATAAGCCAGAAAAAGTTAGAAAAGGAGAGGGCAAATTTTGGGGTGCAACAACCAGCAAACTAACCCTGTTGGGGAAAACGACTTGGATGGCCTTCTTGAAACATCACCCTGCTGAGGAATATGCCCTGGATGGACTTCTTGAAAAACTACACCCTGCTGGGGAAAACACCAAAACTCCACTCAGTGGGGAATCAAAAACAACATTGAGAAGTCCAACCTGTTGGAGATAACAATCTTATGCTGAAGGTTCCACTCTGTTTGGAATGCAAGAATAATAATCCGCCCTCCTGGGGATATTAGAGGCTTCTACTGAAGGTTCCATCCTGACGAAGAGACAAAATTAATCTTTGTTAACGATTCTCCTCCACCTGGAATATAATGATCACCTATAGAGAACTCCACTCTTTTGGGGAATAAACAAGCTATGCGTAAACATCTGCCCTGAGGGAAATGAGAATATCATCTGTTGGGAGCTCGTCCTGAAAACTGATCCTGAAATATGTCAATGATCATTAGACTTTATTGGCGATATCAATCGATCATCGATGTGCCTGTCGAGGGAATTAACACTAAACTCTGCTTGGGGAAGAAATTCATGAATACTGATCTTGCCGGGGAGAGACGCCAGAGTGTCGACTCCGTTGGGGAAGGACGTTGCCTCTGCTGGAGAGTAAACCTGAATTGAAATCTACCCTACCACAGAGGGAATATCCTTTAACCTTACTCTGCTGGGAATATGCTGAGAATGAATCCACCTTGTTGAGGATTAACTTCTGCGGGGAGATAAAACTCTGCTCTGCTGAAGATACGCTACACACCTCCGCTAGTGACAACACTTCTGATTTGATAACAGGATTCTGTGGGGAAGACAAAATCTCTGCTGCGGGGAAACAAAAATCTTTGTTAAACAAAATGCATGACTGCATTCTATCTGAAGTAGTCAACCTCTGAACACTCACCGGGTAGTACGAATCCACTTCGGCTAGGAAATACAACTCTAAACTCTTGCTAGGGGAGGAATAATTCACCATGCATTACTGTTAGAACTTCATCGCTGGGGAGAAAATCTCTACTGGGGAGAGGATCCTGCAATCCTAATGTCTATCCTACTCCAAATTTAATCGGAAATTAAATTGGAATATGAAACCTAAGGGGACATGCAAAGGCAAGGAAGAAAGCAAAGAAACAAGATAAAAACAGTAGTTACAACAACGCCTCCTGCACAAGACAGCAGTAAAATTCAGCACACAAGCAAGACAACCTATAACAGCATATGTTTCAGCACAAAAGTAGGTTTAAAAAGGCAAGCAGTAAGCAAGCAAGGCAAAAACAACATGCAAATTCAAAATAAAAACAGCTGTGAAAAGTTGTGCTGCAAGCAAGCATGAATGCACTTAAACAAGAGTATGTGCCAATCATGAATAGATTTCATGCAAGTATGAATATGTTTCAACAATCAAACATAAGCGATCAACAACATTCAACAAGATCAACATGCTTCAATTCAAATTAAATGTAAACGTGCATCAAACATCCAGCAAGATAAACCACAATGATAATCAATTAATCGTGCTATAGGTAAACAAGTTAAATGATCATTGCCTCCATTAAGCAACATGAGCAAGTTTAACATTTAAATGAAAACAGGACGTCACATGTCGAAGAAACGAGATCAAACATTCAAGAATGATGAAATATGTCAAAAATAATTCACACAAATGTATCACATCAATCCATGAAGTTTAGATGTGAAAAGGAGTCTGATCAAGCAAGAAAAATGCAAAAACAAAGCACTATGTTCAGTGGTAATCGGTTATTGTAATCAGGTAACCGGTTACTTGTTGTAAAAATAGTCTGGAACGTGAAATTTATGAAGGGTAATCGGTTACCCATATGTGGTAACCGATTACCACTGAACCAAAAACAGAAAATTAGCCTCCAAAATAAATTTTTAGTACCAAACAACTTATCTAATCACTCATATGAACATGTTATCAATTAAGTGCGAGTTCATTATCAAGAATCAGTAATCAAGCATCATGTAAACACAACCAAGCATTGAAAGCACAAATCACAAAGATCCAAATCATCAAAATG